ATTCCAAGCTACACAAGGCGCCATGCAGAGCGAAACTAATTCTACCAGTAGCTTCAATCAACTGGAGGCAATGGTGGTCTGCTGGTATGTAATGAGCTTGCTCAAGGAGGGACTTGGTGACGTAAGGATTGAACAAGGGGACATTGGCGTCGTGACTCCATATTTGGCCCAACGCAATCTTGTGAAGCGTATGCTTCGTTTAAGAGGGCATCCGAATGTTGAAGTTGGCACTGTGGAGAGCTATCAGGGACGTGAAAAACCAATTGTTCTTGCATCGCTGGTGAGCTCCTTTAAGAGCACACGCTTTCTGTCCGATCCACGTCGGATCAACGTGCTCCTCTCCCGTGCTAAGGTGCTGCTGATACTGATCGGTAACCCGATCAGTCTGGAAAAAAATGACGACTTCAAGTTCATCATCGGTCAGTGTAAGGCAAACCACAACTTTTTGGAAAATGTGGAGAAATTTAAGGATGACAGCCTTGAGGGGCTTATAAGCAAGATGAATCTGAAGGATGCTGAAAGTGAAGACAGTTTCAGCTCATCTGAAGAAGATGATTAGCATTTTGTTTGTGTCTTGTAGACTTTTTGATATACATGTACAATCAATGAATTATTTTCCTTTTCATAAACTAATTTAAACAAATAAATGTCTAAATGAAAATTAATGTTCCCAACCCATCTAATGCAATTATATTTTGAGTGTTTTTCTATGGCTAAGATAACATCTAGATGAGGGGATGCAAATAGAAGTTTACTTTTCCATACAAACGTACGTGCATACATACATATACGTGTATACAAACATGGACACTATCTTCATTTGTAGACAACACTAAATGGTGTGCACACTGTCACATGTACTAACCATATACATATACATACATATGCATTCGTCGTAAATATATATGTGTGTATATGGATGTGTACATGTACATGCCTATATTAATGTACACAAGTACATACAAATGTAATACTCATTTGAAATTGAAGACTAACATGTTATGCTCATACATACTTACATATGTGTTAGTATATTTGGCCAATAGAATATTTGGCAAGTAGAAGGCTTTTTGACAATATTAATTCTTCAAAGAAAAACAAGTAAGAGGTTCTAGTCGGGAGCTCCCGCTAGGGGATACCCTGAACCCTCTTCTTCCAACATATAATGCATATATATATATTCTATTTTAGAAGCAACATATTATGTTTCGTGACTCTAGCTCTTATTATTTACCAAAATTGCCTTAAAAAACAGGATATCGATACCGATTTGTATCGATTTCTTGGAAACGGAGTAAGTTATCGATTATCGGAAAAAAACTCGATCTGCGCTGGCACTAGGAGCACCTACATCTAAAACTATAGTTCTTATATGTTCTTATATGTTCTTTGCGTTCATACATACGGACGGACTGACGGACGGACTGACGGACGGACAGACAGACGGACATGGCTAGATCGACTCTCGGCTATTGATCCTGATCAAGAATATATATATGGGGTCGGAGATGCTTTCTTCTGCCTGTTACGCACAGTTGGATTTTGCACAATTAGCCATTTTTAATGGGTTCAGGGTATAAAAAAAGATTATTTAACTATGGGCATTCGTCCATTCCAACAGGAAGGTTAAAAACTGTCTTCCAGAACGTCTTGCAAATCATGCACTGTAAAAAAAATGTAGTAGAATTGCACCTCCATCGGAGTTAGCAACCGCTGGTTACTTTGAAGCAAAAATCTAGGTAATTGGCAAATAACACGCCAGCTCCTTCAGCAAAGTTTAAACAAATTAGTTTACTTGGGAATCGTTGCAATTGTTGCTTTTATGTTAACAACCTCGCCCCCTCGGTTGTCTGCCAGTTGCCCCATTCAACGTTGCATGCAACGTGTGTCTGATGGTCGCCTTCCCCAGCAGTAGCAGCCCTCTCCAACTGCGCGTTGGCTGTAGGTGTTAACAGATGCACCCATCGGGCTGTTGCTGAGACGAATCTTAATTAGCGACTTGGTATTCATTACTCTAGTTTGATTTACAGTTGGAACCTCCTCATATTTCCCAAAGCCTTGCTTGAAACATGAATTTTCTGACAATTGTTATGCTCAAAACATAATTCTAAATTTTAGGCTTAGATCTGAAGGCCAGGACGCTAGCGCCTTTTTTGTGGTAACTAACCATAGTATTATTTATATTATAAATGTATTATAGTTAACCTTAATAATAATAACAATAAAAAATGTTCGGTTTAAAATGTTTTTAAAAATATATTATTACTTTTGTCATGTTTTGTGTATTTGCATATTTGCGTTTTGACTTCTATCTCTTACTTATGACTCCGTCATAATTTTTATAAAGTATACAATTTTATCTATACAAATATTTTTTATGCTCAAGAACAAAATGAACCTGCCCGCTACCTCCGATCCCGCCCAGCCAAATGGTTGATATATGTTTTATGGATATAATGTTTTGCCTATCTGAATGTTTGCCAGTTCCAGCGAGCCCAGCTCCAGGTTTCGGCTGGGTTCTGGGCCTATTTCCGTGTTGCCTGCGGTTTGGAGGGCGCGTTAGAAAATTTACATATGCACATAAATCTTGACTTTGTTTGTCTCAGCAGAGCGGCAGGCAGCGCGAGAAATGCTTCTAAATATTTGTAGATACTTATTTGGTGGCACAGAAAAAACAAACAAGAACAACAACTTGCAGCGACAGCAACAACTCAATAAACATTGCTGTGCCGTCTCGGGTTCCACAGCTCCGTCGAGGAAGTGTCAAAAGTTTGAAATGTATTTGTTTTTGTTTTGTCTGTGTGTGTGTGTGTGTGTGTGTGTGTGTGTGTGTGTGTGTGTGTAGTGGCACGTCGGCTGGCGACAACATACTGACAGATACTTTGGCTTGGCCACGTTGCCCAGCGGCAATAACTTTATGTGTATGTTACAACCAAAAATGGCAGCAAAGTGAACTAATTGGCACTTAGACAGCGCAGCGTTTGGGTCACACATGCAAAATGTATCTAATGGAAAATCAAAGAAGAACCTATGAAAATAAAGTGCACAGCTGTGCTTTTACATTTGAAGATTACCTATTACAGTCCGCATCTGACAGGAGAAAATGAGCATTAGATCGCAGGAAATACAGACATGGCTCAATTGTTCAGAGCATATGCGCCAAATCGTTTGCGTCATAATTTCAGTTTCTATGAAATTTGATTATATGTATCTATAATTTGCTTAGATACGGGCAACAGATACAAAAGTATCTCATAGATACTTTGGCTTGTTCTAAGAGTGCTCGCCTCTTGTTCACATAGAGAGGTACATTTCGTGCATAATGCTTATGCTGCATAAGATAGATAAGAAATACTTTATATATTAAAAAGTATTTTTAAGATACAATATATATTTATGCAACCTTTAACATTCGTTTTGTTAACTAGTTCTATATGCTCAAGCTGCATGCAAATATATAATTTTATTTACTCATAAAATCTCGTAGAGACTTTGCTGTGCGAGCAACTCAATCGGTTGGAAATCTGATATTACAGTTCTATATTTAATTGAAGATTCCAAGCCTGCTAAATGCAACTGGATCTTTTCGCTTTGTGCACATGTTTACTGTAGATATTACACCTAGCATGGGGCTAGATTATTAAATACGTGCCTTAAGCCAAATGCCACGCCCAGTAGCGCGCCCTAAAATATTATTTCAACCTGGAGCCGTGCATGGCACATTCTTTTTTTTATGCGTTTGCCATAAAATGTTTTCTCATGCTGCAATTGTTGCCAAGTACCGTTCGCTCTTCGTTCACATTTCGTACCCCACCAAGCTGTTTGGCCGTCTGGGCCATGCAAAAAAAAATTTCCCCTTTATATACCCTGTAGCTATGCAGCCTGCAGTAGCTTACTTCGTTTCCACCAAAACGATAAGTATCGATCTTAAGTTGACAATATTTGATAATGACACGAAACTAAATATATTTAAAATTAACCATATATGTACATAGTTACTCGAGATTCAAAACATTTTTGGAAATACAGCCTGAGGCCTTGATATATCCACACTTTTGGAAGTCCCATTCAAGTCCACAAAATTTCAAGAATACATTTCGCCTAGTCGCTAGTTACAGGGCAGCGCTTGGTCGGCCATTCCCGTCTAGAGCACCTTCTGCTTATACACATATGCAGAGCTGTGAAGTATTTACATAAATCCAAACTGGAGGGTACGACGAGTCCGACCCTAGCAACTAACTGACAGTTCAATTTATGCTTCCTCTATGCCTCAAATGGGCTACCAGGCTGCGATAAAAGCAACGATTGCCGCATCTTGTTTTGCCCGCTGAGGCTGACTATAAAATGCACTTAATGCAGCGGACAAGAAACAAAAAAAGCGAATTTTACGCTGAACAGCGAACTAAGAAATGCATTAAAGCCGAATGTATCTTGCGGATATATATTAACCATATTTATGAAATGCGATTAAGTTGCGAGGTGCCGTTCATAACAAAGGTCTGAGAGAGGCGTTAAAAATTGATTTTCTAATGAAAACAAGACCAATATGTATTTATTTGAATGTTAAACATAATTCAAGCGATGTTATTGTGTTTTATCTGAACCTATTTCTATCTACTTCCTAAGAGAATACACAAATAAAAATTAAGAGGCATTTTTAAACTTAACTGTCCACTGTAAAATATTTCGATGATAGTGCAAAACTGCACGAAGCAAAAACAACAAAAATAAACTGATATTATTATTTATATGACAAAGAGATTCTGTGTAATTCAATACACATGCAAGGCACATTCGGAAAATAATGCTTGGGGGGCACAGCATATATTTCACTTTCGGATTTGTATCTGGATAGAAAAAATGTTTACTTCATTCTTATCAGCATCAATAATTAATAATAAATATGCCATAAGCTTGTGATCAGCCCTCGCTCTTGAATGCGTTAAATGCATAAATGAAATTTATTGATGTGTCACTTATTGATTATATTCCTTTTGCAGATCTGGACTCAGCCAGCGTGCAGCTGCTGGGCAGCAATCGTAACGAGCTGCTACTCAAGTGCCATGTGGAGGGCGCCTCCGGCGATGAGCCGCTGCAGATTGAATGGTATCGGGACAGCGCTAAGCTGAGCACCTGGCAGAACGTGGAGCTGCAGCAGCATCGACTGCTCATCCGTCAGCCAAGCGGCGCCGACGATGGGCTCTATCGCTGCATTGCCTCTAATGCGGCGGCACGCGTGATGAGCAAGCAGGGCTATGTTTATCGGCATCAGTCGAGTGTGCTTGGTGTGACCAGGTGCCTGCCCAGGCTAAAGAAGAACCAGAAGTTGCCCGAGTCGTGGGGCAAGCAAGTCTTCTTGTGTCGCGGCAAGCGTGGCGGCTCTGGCGGCATGGATCAGGCAATGTCACTGCCCCCGTCGCCCGAAGGTCTGCGCATTGTTCAGGGGCCCAATGCCAAGCTGATTATCAAGGAGGGCGATTCGGCAGCCCTGAGCTGCCTCTATGAACTGCCCGCCGAGCTGCAGAATCAACGCGTTCAGTTGCGCTGGCGCAAGGATGGCAAAATCTTGCGACACGTGGAGCTGGGCGAGACTCTAATACCTGGCCTGGCGCTCGACTATGGCAAGGATACATTGCTGCGCGAGGATGGACGACTGGTGCTGCACAAGCAGAACGGCACGATGAGCTTCAACAGCATAATTGCCAGCGATGCGGGCCAGTACATGTGCCAAATACAGCTGGAGGGGCATGCGGCAGTCAACTCCTCACCTGGCACACTGGAGGTCATTGAACAGCTCAAGTTTATGCCGCAGCCAACCTCAAAGAATCTTGAGCTGGGCTCACTGGGCAAGCTGCACTGCAAGGCGCAGGGCACTCCCACGCCGCAAGTGCAATGGTTGAGGGTGAGTAGTCGATGGTCGATGGTCGGCAAATAAGTGGAAAGGTTTATGTATTCAACATACGAAGTAAAATTAATACCTTTCTACCTTTTTGCTGCTATAACTCTTTTTCGAAATTTCCCCAATATTCATAAATATAAAAAAATGTTTTGCGTTTATTCGTGCTCGAATGAAACAATACTTCTTCGCTTGACTTGACACAAGTCACTTCCACTCCACTGAAATATTCCAGTTTCAATCTTTTCACGCGGCCCTCGGCTGGGCTCACCTGACAAATTGAAAAACGCAACGCGACGCTGTGTAAACGTTTCTATCAACAAACATTTCATATGCAAAACTTCTATTGAGTCTAGCTGGCTAACCAGTTTCCAAGCCCTTTTCCCCCTTTGCTCTTCGCGCATTGTTTGCAGCTGTTGTGCGAGAAGCAACCAATTTTGACAACTGTTTGTCCATTTGCCGGAAAAATTGTCCAGCGAAAAACAAAAAGTACCAAAGCTTTTTCATTTGCGTCTCGTCTAAAACAAACGCACCCCTCGGTCAACGGACCCACCTGCTCATGACAAGGTTTTGCATTTTAGATGAAAACGCGTCGAACTGGGTTTTGAAATTAGTTTGTAATAGTCCATGTACCCTTACTTTATCTGCACAGGATGCGGCGAATGGCTCTCTGCCCGAACACGTGGATGACATCAATGGCACTTTAATATTCAGGAATGTTAGCGCCGAGCATCGCGGCAACTATACGTGCCTGGCCAGCAATAGTCAGGGTCAGATTAATGCCACTGTCTCTATAAATGTGGTGGTCGCGCCCAGGTTTAGTGTGGCGCCTGTGGGACCCATCGAAACGGCCGAGCAAGGCGTGGCTGTTATTCACTGCCAGGCCATTGGAGATCCCAAGCCGACCATACAATGGGACAAGGATTTACAGTATCTGAGCGAAAACAACACGGATCGCCAGCGTTTCAGTTTCCTGGAGAACGGCACACTCGCCATACGCAATGTGCAGGCGGAGGATGAGGGCAAATATGGCTGCACCATTGGCAACAGTGCAGGCCTCAAGCGGGAGGAGGTACGTCTGCTGGTGCGCTCCAGTGGCGATGGCTTCATTACGGAAGAGTCTGCCGGCGATGGTTTCCTTGTGACGCGCGCTGTACTCATCACAATGACCGTTGCGCTGGCCTACATAGTGCTCGTGGTGGGTCTGATGCTGTGGTGCCGTTATCGGCGGCAGGCACGCAAGGCGCGCCTAAATGAGCTCAGCATCAAGGAAGCTGGCGGCGATCAGGCGGAGGCGGGCAAAAGCAATGAGCAGGAGCCCTGCCTGTCTAAGCAGCAACGCAACGGCCACAGCAAGTCCCGTGCAGCCAATGGGGATGCACAGAAATCCGATGATACCGCTTGCAGTCAGCAGTCCAAGGCTTCCAAGAAATCCGCCCACATTTATGAGCAACTGGCACTGCCACGCTCCGGTCTCACTGAATTAATTCAAATTGGACGCGGCGAATTTGGTGATGTGTTTGTGGGCAAGCTGAAGGCGTCTCTGGTGGCAGCCGCTTCGCCAAGCGACAAGGATGCAGACACGGAGAAACAGCATAGCAACAGCGAGAATGGCAGCGGTGCCAGCGGCAGCGGCAGTGGTAGCACCACCTTGAGTACTCTGAATGAGAAGCGACGCTCCAAGACCTCCATGGATGACATTGAGGAAATCAAGGAGGAGGAACAGGAGCCAGCCGAGTCTGCCGCCGATCAACTGGTGCTGGTCAAGGCACTCAACAAGGTTAAGGATGAACAGGCCTGCCAGGAATTCCGTCGTCAGCTGGACTTGCTGCGTGCCATCTCGCACAAGGGTGTCGTTCGTCTGTTTGGCCTATGCCGCGAAAAGGATCCACATTACATGGTGCTGGAGTACACAGACTGGGGTGACCTCAAACAGTTTTTATTGGCCACCGCCGGAAAAGTTAACACGGCCACAGCCACATCCTCACCACCGCCACTAACCACAAGCCAGATGCTAGCTGTAGCTTACCAAATAGCCCGCGGCATGGATGCAATCTATCGCGCTCGCTTCACCCACAGGTAAGATCTTCCAGAAGAAAATAACGTAAATAATTTAGTTACGTTAGGATCTCTAGGCAAGCGTTTAAGCGATTTACTTCCTCTAAAAACAGGTCTACTGCCAGATAAACTAGCTGCTAAATATGATTTGAAAGTAATCAGTTGCAGTGCTGCCACCATGCTAAAGAAAATAGCTTGTGTAGGCCGTTAAATATGTGTACTAACGTTACCAGACTGTCGACAAGATGTGGTCAATTTATCAACTTGAATTTAACTTCTTGTCGACTAATGGGAACTTAAGGTCTAATATATCAATCGTTAAAATATTCATAATCGGTTAATTAATAGCTTCTATTTTGTCATTGTGAATCCTCCAACAGAGACCTGGCCACTCGCAACTGCGTCATCTCCAGTGAATTTATTGTTAAAGTCGCCTATCCGGCCCTGTGCAAGGACAAGTACAGTCGCGAATATCACAAACATCGCAACACGCTGCTGCCGGTGCGCTGGCTGGCACCGGAGTGCATACAGGAGGATGAGTATACCACCAAGAGCGACATTTTTGCCTTTGGCGTGGTTGTGTGGGAGCTTTTCAATCAGGCCACAAGGCTGCCGCACGAGGATCTAACCAACGAGCAGGTGGTACAACGTGCACTGGCCAATACACTGGAATGGACCGTGGCCGAGGGTACGCCAGACTGCCTCAAGGAGATATTGGTACGTATAAAGGAAGCGGGCGCATTTCTCAACTATTGACAGCTAATTAATTTGTTGTCCTATCTACTAATTGCTTCTTCTGCATGCCCCACAGCTCTCCTGCTGGTTGGCCAATCCCAAGGAACGCCCATCTTTCAGTCAGTTGGGTGCTGCGCTTAGCAAGGCCATGCAAAGTGCTGAGAAATAGGCGCACCAGCGTTGCCAGACCGATGACTGACTTAGTGTTGGTAAACGTTGAAGCAAGAAACAGTTTGCTAACTACGCCAAATATAATTTGTAGTATTCTCTTAGTACATACATGCATACATACATAAAAATCGGCTTAAGTTAAGTTTGATACATTTTCGAGGTTACGTCTTGCATTGAACTGAGTTATTTTCAAATGCCAGACGCATGTTCAACATGCATATTTATAATCCCAACTTAAGATTAATGTATTTTAAATGTATAGACCATAAGCATTGATATCTTCTCTAAAGTATTTACATACATACGTGGTGCTGCATAGAATATGCAGCTAAAATGTAAATAAAAACTGCCACAAACATTTGCATTTAAACCAGTTGAAGCATTTATAGCCGTAGTCTTGGCAATTTGAAGTATTCCAAGAAATATTTTAAAACTAACCCAATGAATATAGGATTATGCTAGGCTTAAGTTGATTTTATTACCTAACAATTGTAAGCAATACGCAAAATATATATAAAATATTTGTGAAAGTTACAGAAAATACACAAAAATTTAATCACAGCGTGTATTTTCAATTTGAAATTAACAATTAAGCCAAACTTCAATTTAACGTGAAAACTTTTAAACATATATCATATACATCATTTTTCTATACAAACATGCATATTACATCAAATACTTTAAACTTAGGCATAAGCATGTAAGCCGTAAAAAATTTATAACTAGCATTTTAAGCTTTGATGCATGTTTACAAAACATTTAAATGAAATAATAAACACAAATAAATAAAATAAGCAAAGCCCAAACTCGAAATCATTTTAAGTGCTTAGCCCAAAAAACGACAAGGATCAGAAAAAAAAATATATAAGACCAAAGCCGAAATGCAAATAGCACAAAAATTTCCCAGACAATGGTAGTCGACTCTAAGATACTCTGCAAACATTTTACAATGTCTTTTCTGAAAGAACGAATTTGTCAATAGATCGGAAAGTGTGCGCCAACTCTTATTTACAGCAAAATGCGCTTGAAAAATCTCTAAAAATTTGCAGTTGAGCGCAATTTGAAATAAAAAGATTATATAAAATAAATATGTATCACAATGGATCATCTAGATGTAGTTTCAGATATATGTATGTATGTTACTTGAAGCATCTGCTGATGCCGATAGCTGTCAATCAAGCATATATGCATATATTTCGTATAGGGTCGACAAAGTCTTCTTTTTTAACTGTAACAAATCTCTGCATAACCTTTTTATGCGCATTAAAGAGTATGCAAAAAAAGAACCTGCGCCAACTCCCAGAGCTACAACTGGGGCTTCGTGTCCTGAATTGGGTCTGCCGGCCCCTTGTTATGCTGTGTAACTACTTTTTATAGACATTTCATTTGGCGTGGCAAATTTGTTGACGGTCCTTCGAGCAGTGCCGCGATTTGGCAGCCCGTTCGTTCACACTTCACTTGATTTGAAAAATGAGCGTCTATTGAATGTCGGATTGAGTATTCGGTTTCGATTTCGGTTACAGCCCGCCTGGCAAAACAACATGGCAATAAACCGTAAAGTTGCCTAAGCTTATTGGGGCTTAAAGTTGGCCGGAAGTTGCCTAGGCTCAGGCGCCTACGTTGCGCAAAAGTTTGCCGTGCGAAAAACTTAAGCAGCCAGCCGAGCGATATTTGCATTTGAATCAACAAAAACAACAAGCACGGCTACACCATATACAATGAGCTGGCATTTTTTCTGCTGCTTTTTTTTCTGCTTGCCAATTGCGGGCAGCTGTGGAATGCTAGGGCCCAAGAAAGAGGCTGTTTAGCATTTCCTGGCACGTACAAATTTTCTGCCATGAATTTCAAATGCCTGAGCACCAAAGGCTGATTGAACAGTTCCCAGGAAATGTGCCAAAAAAAGGAAGCACACCCCTTTGGATAACACGAAGCGATAATACCCTTATCATTAAATACAAGAAAGTCAATATACAAAAAAAATATCAAATTTGTTTATTTTGCTTACGCATCGAAAAAAAAACAACAGAAAGACTAAGTGAAATTTTTCGCGATTTTAATCAAAAATTTGCATTTCACATGGTGGTTTTGACAGTTTTTTGTTTTTTTTTTTAACTATAATAATTTCAGAAGTTCTGGCTTGAAAAATTATAGTAGCATCAGAAGGATAAGGCAAATCTTCGATTGAATCCGATATCAACGAATTTGGCTTAATTAAAGTAATTAAGAAGTTAAAAGAATACATTTAGCTTAAAATTAACTCTGTATACTATTTAATTTTTTTGAATTTGGCTTGAATACTAGACTAGAAATCACTTTAATAAACTTAAGTATTTGCCAATTTTCAAATAATTCTCTGTCTATGTTTGACCGAAAGTTCAACAAGTCCACAGCTACCTTTACTTATATTAGGGTATCTGAAAATCTTAGACTTGCACTTGGCTTAACAAGGACTTTAATTTGATTGTCAGGCATATTCAGGCGCCGACAGATATGAGGAATTAGTAGAATAAAAATAGCAATAAATAACTATATAGCCAAATCAAAGATGGCTGACCAGCTGCATAGAGGAAAGCCAAACACATTTAGCTCGTGTTGCTCCAGCCTGCATCCCGCCTGGTTGCGGCCATGAATAAATCAATGCAAAATGCAGCTGTAATTTAACGTCAACGTCAACGTTTTTGCAATGCTACTGGGCTGTGTTTTGCATGGCTGATGTTCAAAAATGAGATTGTTGAAAAATACATGAAGCCATGGCGCATATGGCGTATGCGCAATATTTTTGTTGTTGCCTCCCATGTATTTGGCCATGTTTGCGGCAGCTGCAACAACAAAAGCCTAAGCTTAACAGTATTTTTTGTACATCTACATATCACACATATACACACACACACACACACTAGCATACAAAAATGCCATTCAATTTATTAATATTATGTATGAGCGCGAGTGGAAATGGCTTTGCCAATTGAAGCGTAAAATGTGCATTACTCATATGCCGCGTGTGCCACACTCACACACACACACACACACACAAACATAAATGTATGTATCCCCCAGCTGACCTATGGCACTTTATTATGCCTTTTACCTGCTCAGACATAAATTACACATTACGCATACGCCGAGTAAATTTATGCAAGCTAAAAGTAAATGTTTGGCAAATAAATTACGCGCAAAATTAAGGCATTTTGTATGCGAGCTCTAAGTGACTCGGCAATTGACTGCAAACTCAACTCGTTGCCAAAACAAAAACAAAAAAACAAAAAAAAACAAAGCCCCAGATTGATGGGCCGCAGGCAAACTTCAACTAGCAGCTTCCACCAAGGAGCAGGCAGGCTGGCATAGGGACAGAGGGGCACAGGGGCAGAGCCTCATTATGTAGTCGCCGAAAACATATTTTCGCATTCATCAGAAGGCAAAAGTTTTGCAGCCGCCTGCCAACTTCCTGGCACATAATTGAAGCACATCGCAGACTCATTTGTTACCGACTCCTCCCGCCGCATAATCATATTCCTGTCAGTTGGCGGCGGGCTGGGGCTGCACATTTGATTGCTTGGCCCGGTTTTTATAGCATTTTCATTTGCAGCGCAATTAGTGTGGCAGAGTTTTGACAAAGTTTTCGAATTGTGTTTTTAGGCCAAGCGAAATGAGCAGCTGCATTTATGAACGGGGTAAGTTCAACTGGAGCCGCATACAGAGGTAGAAAGTTGACGTTGCATGTGCAACATGTTCAGCGGCAGCAACTCATAACGAGATGGGAAATCTACCACCCAGTTTGGAGTGAAACTCAACGTTTTCTTCCGTCATCAAAACTTGACAAAATCCCACACGTAACTGGTGACTAATTTAATTATTTCATTCAGCTGCAAAAAATTATTCTACTGCAGACTTTCAGTAAATCAGTGTGCAACAAGCCAGCCACGCCCATCGCCCCACCAACCCCCACAGCCTCGGCTGCGCCACGCGCCGCTGCTGCAAGGCTTTTCTCGAGCGTATAAATTTAATTAAATTAGTTTCAACTTGCGTAAGTCAAACCTGTGCCATAAAAAAAAAATGTCGAGAACATTTCCATATTTCTTCGCTTGCCCTTACGAGGGCTGTGCGAGGCAAGAGGGCGTGGCCCAAAAGTAACCACCCCAATGGCAATCAGAGTCACGTTTTGGGCCAGCTTGGCGATTCGTTGACGTTGATGCCACTTTATGATTATTATTAGAAGATTATGTTTGCTTAATTTCCAGCAGTGCCTCACACTTTACTGCCGATTTCAGACGAGCGAAGTGACAATGGAAGAAACTGTCGAATATACAAGAAGAAACCTGCTCTTAAATTAAATTCATAAATTTCAAATGTTTGGCACAATATTCAGTACTCCGAGCCTAGCAGATAAAGCTGCCTAAGAGAGAAAGCTCATATGATATTCTCCAAAAATATTATTTTGATATTGAAAGCCTTAACCTTAGCATTTGTATTGATTGGCTTCGCATTAGACCATTGTCAGCTGCCTCAATGCACTGATGTTCTTTTGCGCAGCCTGAGATATTATGACAACTCACTTGTGGAAGTGCTGCTAAGGCGAAAAGGTCATTGAAATACACAAAATAAGAGCTGAAAACTAATTAGCGTTAAATGAGGGTTAACTGCCAAAGGCGCCTGACAGTTTCAGTTGGCGTGGCTAATGTCTGGAACTGTGGAAATTATGAAATGTCTAAAATGAGTTTGGGGGCGGGCCAGGGGCAGGAGCGAACAGACAGGTGAGCGCTGATGTGCTTGAAGCCATCGATGTCTTAAAGCTGAGCTGAGATTTAACCGCCGGTTATATAGACAAACAGCCAAGACTTGAGCCCAGACAAAGGCGACATTGAAACAAAACGCTTGGCAACAAGCCACCCCGAGTGTTGGCAAAGGGATATAAAATAAAAACAAGGTGGCAAAGGGATGGGCAGGACATGCATTAACCAAACAGCTGAGCCTTTGTGTTGACTCATTAACGCACGGGCAATCGAGGGAGAGAGAGAGAGAGAGAGAGAGCGAAAGGGAAAGAGAAGAAGAGCGAGAGAGAGTGAAGAGTTGCGAGCAGAAATGAAACATCAGCCAGCAGCAAGGCGACTGTGTTCTACGTACCGTTTCAAGTGAAATAAATACCCCCAAAGTCATAAAAAGCAAACACAAAACATCAGCAACAACAACAGCAACAGCAACAAAATAAGACTGCTCTACTCGAGTGTGCCCGACTAGACAATACCCTGTTTAACTTCAAAAAGTGTGCAAAATCTGAATAGCCTCGATCTTTATAGTCCGATCTCAATGCGGCCGGGCCATAAATGTGGCACCTAAATGCGTGTAAATGCGCGAGTGGTCATCTACCTTAAGGAATTATTTTTTACAAATTGAGAGGGAACATATAAATGCCACTATGGTAACTAAATTTCTCATCAATGGACTTAGAGATGCTTCGTCAACCTATTATATACATTTGCACACAAACGCCCTTTTTCACATTTTCAATGGGCACAGAGCATAAGCAACAACAAAAACAGCAACAACCCTCAATGGGTGCCACGTCTGGCAGGCGACATCATCGTCATCGTCCTCGTCGTCCTCGTCGTCCTGGTCGTTGTTGTTGTCCTCGTCGCCACTCGAGTTGACTTGAATGGCTTGGTTCTGTTTCTGGCTCTGTTTCTGTTCTGGTTCTGGTCATGTTTTTGCCATCGTGTAGTAACAATTTTCATTTTCAACGCCAAAACGTTCGGGCGCAAAAAACGCATAAAATTTTACGAGCCACGCCAGAGACTTGAAGG